CGGTGACCGTTGTGTATATGCGCTTTTGTCATCAATATTAATGCATATAATTATATTTTAAAAAAAATAGGTACGCGGATAATAGAGGTAAAACATTAGACTAGTTCCGTGCGAATATACTAGTATGTAATTGAGTGGAAGACGGACAATGAGATAAGAGATTGAGTGACATTCCATGCTATCTGCGAACACTTAGGCTGACCCTATTGTTTGTCTAATAATTCTTTCGCAATATTGATTATGTCACATAATGCATTGCACTCTTTGACACTTGATAAGAGTGCCGGCGATTAGAGTGGCAACGGTATCCAGGGATTGGCTGTTGAAATAGTTCATATGATGTTATTGTATGATGACAAATATCTTCTTCTTATTATACAATTTTCGTTTCTTCTCTATTCTCACATTTTGAATTCTATACTCAGAGATCGAAACAAACAAATAAATGATAAGTATGTGAATTACTGTTAACTCTTAAAGTAATAAAGTTAAAGTAGTAATAACCAGCTTCGTTATGATTCCATTTTTGTTGCACGGCGTTCACCGTCGTCATTCAGCGCGCCTTCGAATTTTGCGTAAACGGGAAATGTATCTTACAATTGAAATTTAACCCTGGATAAATTTATTAAAGATTTGACCCCTGCTTGCCTGAAAAACTGGGTCCCTCTTCAGTAATTGGAGTTCAGAAAGCAAAATATGGGGTTAACGCAATCCCTGATTAGTAAAAGGTAAATTATTGAACCTGCCGTATCTTTACAAATATGACCGTGCTCCGCTTTTTATCTACAAAAATGCAGGTCTCCAGTAATTGTTCCATTACTTTGAGTTTTAAAATACTAGTAATTCCTAATCCGTGCCAAGTAATTTACCCCCTCCCCCCCAAAAAAAATGGTTCGTGACCTATTCATTTGCCAGATTTGTTTTTAATATCTAAATTAAAACACCAAAAGCGTTGTTCTTGATCAGTATTGCGCAATGTGTGGTACATTTTGTGTATCTGCGGATCCAACGAGTCCGGCAGTAACTATGCGTTACCTTGCCGTGTACCTGGATATTTACTAGAATTTGAGTTATTGGGCGTGCTGGGTTCTATTCCAGTCATCGAAGTATTCCGTAATCCAACATCGATCTGTTGATGTTCCCTTA